GGCGCGATCTCTGCTCACTGCACCCTCCACCTCCCAGGCTCAAGCGATTCTTGTGCCTCAGCCTCCTGAGTAGCTGGAATTACAGGTGCACGCCACCACGCCCAGCTAACTTTTTTGTGTGTTTTTAGTAGAGACAGGGTTTCACTATGTTGGCCAGGCTGGTCTCGAACTCCTGACCTCAGGTGATCCGCCTGCCTTGGCCTCCCAAAGTGCTGGGATTACAGGCATGAGCCACCGCACTCAGCTGCACTCAGCACTTTTTTAAGGTCTTTGAGGAGAGTGGAAAACTAGTATTTCTTGTTTTTCCTGAGTTTATCATTGTTTGTCCTTTGACTTCTCTTTGCTAAGATAATGGTAATCATGTCTCCTTGATGTTTAAAAGAGATCCAAAAGGTCACTATCTTCTAAATTTAAAAACAAAAACAAAAAGAGCTCCTTTCTCCTTCCATCCTGTGTCCCCTGCTTTACTACTTTTTGTAAAAAAAAATTTTCCAGTCCAGTGCAGTGGCTCACACCTATAATCCCGGCACTTTGGGAGGCCAGGGCAGGTGGATCACTTGAGGTCAGGAGTTCAAGACCAGCCTGGCTAACACGGTGAAACCTCGTCTCTACTAAAAATACAAAAATTAGCCAGGTGGGGTGGCGCATACCTGTAATCCCAGCTGTTCAGGAGGCTGAAGCAGGAGAACTGCATGAACCCAGGAGGTGGAGGTTGCAGTGAGTTGAGATTGCGCCACTGCACTCCAGTGTGGGTGACAGAGCAATACTCCATCTCAAAAAAATAAATAAATAAATAAATAAATTTTATTTTCCTTAAGTTTGAAAGTTGCTTAGAGATCATTTTTTTCACCTTCTCAAATTTCCCTCGAAGAACTCTAACTAATAATAATCAAAAGGAGAAGCTGACTAAGAGGGTCTGCCAGGAAGCCTCTGGCCTGAGGATACAAATGTTAGCTGTTGGACAGGCAGTGTCTGATTTTTATTAAAATAATTGTATTTCCCTAAGGTGAAGTCCTGTAAACTTAATTTTTTATAGGTATAACTGTTTCTGGTGAGTCAGGCAATGATCTTATTTTCTAATTTCTGATGTAGATTTTAAAATGCTAGCTCTTCTCATGATGAAGACATTTGGTTTCTATTTCTTTTGAAATTAATCTTGCTCTTAGTATCTGATTGAAAATGATGTATTTTAGGCCAGGCGTGGTGGCTGACACCTGTAATCTCAGCACTTTGGTAGGCTGAGGTAGGTGGATCACTTGAGGTCAGGCGTTTGAGACCAGCCTGGCCAACATGGTGAAACCTCGTCTCTACTAAAAATACAAAAATTAGCTGGGCGTGGTGGCGCGCACCTGTAATCCCAGCTACCAGGGAGGCTGAGGCAGGAGAATCACTTGAATCTGGGAGACGAAGCCTGCAGTGAGCTGAGATCGCACCACTGCACTCCAGCTGGGTGACAGGGTGAGACTCCGTCTCAAAAAAAAAAAAAAAAGAAAAGAAAAAGAAAATGATGTAGTCTAGGTGGAAGGAACAATAAAGAAAATAAAACACATAGTTTTTAAATGTCCCTCATAAGAAAACCAAAACCCAGCATTTGTTGCTGCACCACTGCCCTAAGAAGTCTTCCCCAATTCTCCAACATAAGCAAGAGAGTAAGTAACCACACCACAGATCCAAATTCTCCCAGGCAACCTTCATCAAATCGGATATAAAGCACAGATAAGGAGTAGGAACTCCTGTGGAAAGCAACCATGAGGCGGAGCCCTTCTAATAACCTCAAAACCATAACAATGGTCAGAGAAGAGAAGGAAGCCTGCCTTAACAAGACCACTGGGAAAGTAGTCAGTAGTCTGTTGAGAAACAAGATCTGTGAGGAAGGCATTGAGATGACATGAATGTTCATAGGATGCTACAGGTGGGGCTCATGCCAGGCAGGTGATGCTGTGGAAGGCGGGGCTCCTCCTCAGTTGTGTCCCTACCCCTGGCATATACACCCTTAGACTCTGCAAAGGTGACTTGACTGGAGTGGCCAGGTGCAGGTAACCTAGTGAGCATAAGTATCAGGATTTATAATCTAGAACACACCAGCCTCATCCTCGATTTTTTTTTTTTTTTTTTGAAAAAGTAAAATGATACTTTTACTGCTGTCTGATGGTAAAGATTGCACTGTTAGTGTATAATGCTACGAAAATGTACTTTCTAAAATACCACTTTAAAAAATTCAGAGTTTTTTCCCAGGAGGCCATGGGCAGTTATGACAAGCCTCACATAAAGATTTGATGGTTGAAATCAAACCTAGACTGGGTTTTGAAGTTAGTTACTGAAAGGGTCACCTTACATTCCAGGGCCTTATCTCACCTTTTGTGGGCAAGAGTTACCAGTGGTTCCCACCTCACTGGATTAGGGTGGTCCCTGGCTTTTATCTTTAGAGCCATCAGTTCCCTGCCCTTTCCCTGGTCTTGCTTTTCCTGAGCCAGCTTATCAGTTCCACATTATGGTGGAGCCTGTGCCATGCCTTTCCCCCTATTGCATCAGCTCTCAACACCCCTAGCTTGTTTCTTTCCCCTCGATCTCCTGGTTCTGAAACCAGTCCGGGCTCAACCCTCAGACACCCTCTCTAACCCTCTCCTCTTCCTGAGCTCACCTAGCTCTGTGAAAGTTCATAGGAAAGTCCCCAGGTGCTCCTTACGTCTCAACCTGGTGACACAGGAGGCTCTGACGGAACTAAGGTAGATTCCATGAGCTGCATGACCTGGGGCAGGTTCCTCTGCCTCAGTATCCTTATCTGTAAAGTGGGAGTAATGATGACACCTTTGTCACTGAGTCCTTATGACACTGTGTGGGGGTGTCTCATTCCACAGCCTGGTGCATAGTAAGTGCTCAGAAAGGTACTGCTGACTCCTGTCATTATGATTGCTCTTGAGAATAACTTTATAGGATTTTTAAGTGCTGATTTTGTCACAAGCCAAATAATAGGTCATACAGTTTTAGAGTTGAACCTTATAAGAGGAAACTATACAGAAAACTAACATCCCATTTTATGTCTAAAATGTTAATTTTATGTTGTTATTTGCAACGTAAAAATGAAGTAATATTTGCAAGCCAGGAGGCCACCAAAATACAGAAGTCACTTACGGTGACAAGTCAAGAGCTATCACCTACCATGAGTAAAGAGGAGTATTTGGAAATGAAAATAACTGAAAAGATGACAGTTTTAGCCATGAGTTTCCCAATGACTTGACAAAAGGTGGTGGTTTCATATTACCTGGTGGGGGATCCTGGTTTATAACCTTCACTGTGACTTTCTGAGAAAGAAGCAGCTGATTTTGAAAAGGACTATAGGTATTCCTCACTGTCTGAGCCCTCACTATTAGAACTCAGAAATCAAACAGATTTAGATGAATTTTCAATAAACCCCTAACCATCTGAGTTCTCACTACCTGCCATCCAAAACGCAGGAACCAAACACATTTGGATAAAGCAGAGTCTCTCATGAACCAAACTCACCATCCGAAATGCCACCTAGGAACTGATAGATTTGAATGGTGGGGGGTACTTGTAACTGATTTTCGTAATAAAAACTTGACTCATCCAAAGAAAGTAGTTAAAATATGTTTCAGTGTGGTCTTTTTAAGAATATATAGATGATTTTAGAATGAATTCAGGAATAAAAATTACAGTGGAATATTTGCCTCAGATAGGATTCAAGATTGCAAGCAACAGAAGCTGACTGTGTTCATTAAAGAGCCTGTTAAAGACTAGGAGTGGCTCACAGTGTCATAGGCTTGCTTGGAAACCAGCCATAGTCTGAGCTTCCAGAAACAGGCACCACACCCAGAACTGTTCTAAGGAGGAAACCCCAGCGAGCGTGGGCTATGGTCTGCCCCAGTGTCACTTCTGCAATGGATTCTAAGGGAGTGCCACTTTGGATGGCCACCACCTGACTACTGCCCCTACTGGCCAGGGCTAGAGAAACAGAGAGAGGAGAGCTGTGCCTATTCCCTTCACTGTCACTAGCTCCTGAGGCCAACACTGGCATGAGTGCCACTGCAGACCGAGCCCTACCTGTAAAGAAGGCTGGGAAACAAGCTCTGGTGTCTCTCCTGGGGACACGGGATTCATAACGTTGGAAATTCTGCAAGTGTAGGAAGGCTGTTCAAAAGGCGTGAGCAGCCCCGCACAGAACAGGTACTCACCAGAATGGTGCTTTTCCATAGCTGTGAGGTGTAAGGTCAAGGCTCAGCTTGCTTTCTTCTCCCTCTTCTGCTTTTTACTGAAAAAAGAGAAAGTATTGGCGTATCACTTGTCGTAAGGGAAAGTTTTGTCCTATGAGACTTTTGTTTCAGTTGTGTGGAATCTGCTTGTGTCTGAACGGGATTGCCATGTCAGAGGTGTTTTGTCAGCACAAGTCATAATCAAAAGCCACACAGTGTTTCTTTTTCCTCTGTTATTTTTCAGTCTCTCTCTCTCTCTCTCTCTCTGTCTCTTTCTCTCTTTCTGTCTTTCTCTCTCTGTCTCTCTCCCGCACACACACATATGCACACACACACGCAAACGCACGCACACAATGATGACTGTGTTGTCCAGAACCTCTTTCCCTGGAGCTCCTGGACAGCTGGGACATTTTACTTGTTAAGGTACAATATATGTCACAGACACTTAAGCCTGGCCTGGTGACCCACTCACTGTTACAACATTGTTTCCATGGGAAATTACGTTCTGACTTCTCAAGACAAAGCTTTAAAAAAATCTCTGTTGTGGGGAGTGGTGCCTGTGATGATTGTGGTGACAGTTGTTATAATGTGGAGAAAACATTTCAACCAAAATTTGACCTCAAAGTGTTTATGTGACAAAGAAAACAAAACAAAACCAAAAAAAAAAAAACACTTTTAACAGTAGAGAGCTTTATCTTATTGTTATCTGTATGGAGATCAGCAGCACCTTAAGTTTTAGCCTTCTCTGAAACCAGTTCATTCTAACTTTATAATGTTATTTATCTGCAGGTCCGTTCACTCGACCTCATCCAGCCTTATGGCGAATGGTTTTTGGTGAGTTTCCATTAGCAGTGTAAAAGGATGTTCTATTTTTTTAATCTTTTTTTCTGTTAATCACTTTAAGACTTTTACTTGCCACTCTTAATAGTTAAAACTTTATTCTAGCTTTTTACTTTTTGATGTTCCTAATATACGTGGTTTCTTAAAATTATTTGACACAAAATGAAGTGTTGATGATGACTTAAATTCTCTTACACGTGAACTGTTTCAACTCCACATGCCTCCTTATGTTGCTGTCTCTTAATGTACACAGGATTTGACTTAAGCAAATATCTCTTGTTTTCCTTTGTGTGTTTTCATATTGGTTTTTACTAGTGCAAGCCCAAGTACCTACTATGAGCACATTTGTCTTGTGAGCATCTGGGAGGGAACGAAAACAAAGCAATTCAATTTCTTCAGTGTTATGAATGAGAGAGAACTCGGAAACAAAAAAAACTTCTGACAAAGAACCCTAATTTGAACTAAGGGTTACAAATAAGCATCTAAATATTGGATGTCTTATTTTTACTTGATTTTGTAGTCTAAATAGTGAAATCACCTAAATGGATTTAAAATGAATCTTCAGAACTTTGGATATTGGCTTCATCTGGCCTAAATAAGTCACCAAATGAATCATTTTAGGTTTGGTAAATGTAACCTTATGTAAAAATGTACAAGAACTCTAAGAAACTGCTATTTTGCTAAAGGCTGCCTATTGTTCTTTCAGTCTTCAGAGCTTCTAGGTAACTCTTAGTCTCTTTGAATTGATTGGTGAGCTTTTCACTCAGCAGCCATTCACTGAGTGTGCTGTGTAACAGGTGCTGCTCTGGGCCCTGAAGCTACCAGGGAAGACCAGACAGACAGGAGCCTGCCCTCAAGGAGCTGCCCTTCCACTTGGAGACAGAGGACAGTTAGTAAACAAACTACTACACAAATCAGTAATCAAAAAATATCACCTATCTGAAGTTATTAGGAAGCTAGTTAAGACCAGGGGAGGTGACAGGAGCTGGTGTCTGCTTTAGCTTGAGGAGTGATGGGAGGCCTGAGGGAGTGATGCCGAGTCTGAAACTGTCATACAAAGAAGGATCCAAGCCTACAAAGATTCTGGGGGAGGAGAGCATCCCAGGCAAAGGGAAAAGCTGCTAAAATAGCCCACAGCTGGAAACCACTTCCAGGCCAGTGTGGCCCAAGCATAGTGAGCCCTGGGAGAAGAGTAGGAGAGAGCTCAGAGAGTCATCGGGCACAGATGTAATCATGGGGACTGTGGGCCAGGGTACAGAGCAGGGCAGGAAGGGCAGGGGGAAATCACGGGAGGGTTTTTCCCAGAGTGACCTGATTCCATTTACATTTTCAAAAAGATAGTCCTGGCTATGACATACATACCTCCCATTGATTTAATAGTGCTGTTTGAAGTTAAAAGTTATTTTCAGCTAGTGGGACACATCTGAATTCTTCCTATTTCAAATGATCTATGGTAGGTAATAAGCAGTTTTATTTCCTTCCTGAGAGCCTTTTGGGAGCATGGAGCCCTTTGAGAATCCAGTGAGACCTATAGATAGACCCATTCCCTATGTGTGCACCCATGGGCATTTACCATGCACAGTTCTGCATATAGTGTCCAGGGCTTCACAGACCTCAAAGCCCAACCGAGAACTCCAGATTGAGAATCCCTGCACCACAGATTCTTTCTGTCCTAATGTAATTATTCAAGAGGACCATAATTATTAAAAAGTGTAGTGGGGGGCATTTGTGGTAAAAATTAGTAAAAAATGGGTGGTGCATAAGAGCAAATTGAAGGCAATTCTCATATCGACTTGCCTAAAAAATGTGCATTCCCTGGGCCCTAGGATGCACCATTATTGGCTGGCCACACACCACCCGGGCCTCCTTTGAGCTCCCTGAGGCCTGGAGAGGGGTGGCTGTTGGAAGGCCTGGCACTATAGCGCTTGCAGTGGATTTCATGCCAGCCACGGACGTGCTCTCCTCTGGAGTGGCTCACTGGAGATTAGCGCTGAGCCAAGTTTGGATGGACGCTGTGATCCAAGGTCATTTGTATCACAGTCTCTAAATGTCCCGCATAAACATTTTAATTCCAATGGGTTCAAGAGAAAGAGAAACCACAAAACCCCTGGTGATGGTTTCTGAAATCTCTCTAAAATGTATTGGACAGGCTTTTGCCTTCTAAAAGTGCATTGTTAACATTTCTTTTTTAAATTACACATAGTGATTATTAGGATCGCAATTATGAGATGACAGAACAATGAAATAATGCCTACAAGGGCTAATGTGGAGTGTAAGTCTCAAATAAGTGGCCCTGGGCCACCTCTTGAACCTTACACCAGTAGTACTGTCCACACACAGCCTTGCCCTCCTCCAGTCCACTTAGTTGGCTTTTTAAAATGTTACCGAGATCATTTTATTTCTCCACTTAACTTACAATCAAATCTGAAATGTTGGCCGTGGCCTTTAAGCCCTGACTGTCACTTCAGGGCTGCCTTGCTCCATTCCCTTCTCTGCTAGTGCTCTAGCCACATATTGGGTCCTAGACATTTCTCTTTTCAGAAACCGACCTGCACACCGTTCTCTACCTGAATGTCGCGTGCGATCCTCACACTCACCCCACACACCCTTTGCCTCGCGGTCCTTCAAGTCTCAATCTAAGTTAGCATCAGTTTCTCAGAGATAGTTTTATGCACCCCTCTCAATCTGAATTAGGACTGTGTATCAGACTATCTCATCAAAGGAAATCCCAGATTATAAGAGGAGTCTTGACAGGCTGTGCTGCAATCTTAGTGTCTGGTTTTGGCAATGCCATTCGAGTCTAATGTGTAACGTGTGTGTCTGACTATTGGATCTCTTCTAAACTTCAGCATGTTTTTGTTTCTCTCAGGACTCAGTGTGCTCTACTTCCTGTTCCTGGTATTCCTACTCTTCCTGAATTTCGAGCAGGTTAAATCTCTCATGTATTGGCTAGATCCAAATCTTCGATATGCCACAAGGGAAGCAGATGTCATGGTATGTACTTGTCAGCGGCCCTTTGGAGAAACTGGTAGATTCTTTCTTGGGTGTAAGAGGTAGTAGACTTGACATTTTAAATTGTTCCTTCTCTATATTTCCTGTGTAGTTACCTAGAAACCAGGTCTTTGGGAGGGTTGTTGAGTTGCATGGTTGTCCACAGGTGATAGAGTCCAGGGAAAGGATATCCTCTCATTACGCAGACGGGTCTGTGAGGAAGAATATACACCTTATCGTCAGACAGCCTTGGGCATGAATTCTGCCTCTGTTACTTGGTAGTTGTGGGACTTTGGGCAAAGTACTTGTTAGATTATTCCATTTTTTTGTAAGTTGAAATAGTAATACTTACTTGGGGGTTGTTGTGAAGTGAACAAAGTAGCATTATCTGTGAGGCCTACTGCGAGGTCTGCCATGGTGCCCCAAACACCCCAGGCTCTGGGTCACGGCGGCTGCCCCTGCACCCATCAGCCTCACCCTCAGCACCTGCACTCTCTGGCTCTGATGCCTTGGTCCTGCCCCACTGCTTGCCACAGAGAGGCCAGTTGTAATGATTTAGGCTATTTCATTTGTTACTATTATTTTTATTAAACCATACAAAAAAAATTTTATTCTTGGCTAAAACGACTCTATTTTGGCTTTTACTGAAGAGACTAATTATATGGGAAAAACCAACTATTTTTCTCTTCACTGACGGTGAACGCTTCTGTGACCAGATGTGTGGGTTTTTCCCACACCAACCAATTCTCCAACTTTCCTGACACCTGGAGTTAGCATCAGATCCCACTAGTTAAGGGCCCGTCCCATAAGACTGCCCACATTTCAGATGCCACTCGCAAGTCCAGGCTGTCATCTGTGCTTCTGACCAATAAGCTACAAATCAGGGGTTCCCACAATATCCTCCTTGTGCATGATCATTTGCTATGATGGCTCACAGAACTCAGGGAAATATTTAAGTTTGCCAGCTTATTGTAAAGGACATGATACAGGATACAGGTGAATGGCCAGATGGAGAGGTACCTAGGGCGAGGTCCAGCAGAGTCCTGAGGACAGAAGCTTCTGTCTCTGTGGTGCTGGGGTATACCACCCTCCCAGCCTGTGGTTGTGTTCACTAACCTGGAAACTCTGAACCTGAGAGTTCAGAGATTTTTATGGAGACTATCACATAGGCTTGAACTTTTTTTTTTTTTTTTTTTTGAGACAGAGTCTCACTCTGTTGCCTAGGCTGGAGTACAGTGGCACAATCTCGGCTCACTGCAGCCTCTGTCTCCCAGGTTCAAGCAATTTTCCTGCCTCAGCCTCCCGAATAGCTAGGATTACAGGCACCCGCCACTACACCCGGCTAACTTTTGTATTTTTAGTAGAGACGGTGGTCTCACCATGTTGGCCAGACTGGTCTCAAACTCCTGACCCCAAATGATCTGCCTGCCTCGGCCTCCCAGAGTGCAGGGATTACAGGCATAAGCCACCATGCTTGGCCTTTTTTTTTTTTTTCTTTTTTGAGATGGCACCTCACTCTGTCGTCCAGGCTGGAGCACAGTGGCATGATCTCAGCTCACTGCAACCTTGGCCTCCCAGGTTCAAAGGATTCTCCTGCCTCAGCCTCCTGAGGAACTAGGATTACAGGCATGTGCCACCACACTTGGCTAATTTTGTATTTTTAGTAGAGACAGGGTTTTAACATGTTGGCCAGGCTGGTCTCGAACTCCTGACCTCAAGTGATCCACCCATCTCAGCCTCCCAAAGTGCTGAAATTATAGGCATGAGCCACCACACCCAGCCCATGATCAATTTTTTTAAATTATTTTTTATTTTTTATTTTTTAAAGACGGAGTCTCGCTCTGTCCCCCAGGCTGGAGTGTAGTGGCACAATCTCGGCTCAGTGTAACCTCCATCTCCCTGGTTCAAGCAATTCTCCTGCCTCAGCCTCCCAAATAGCTGGGACTACAGGCGCCTGCCACTACGCCCAGCTAATTTTTGTATTTTTAGTAGAGACAGGGTTTCACCATGTTGGCCAGGCTGGTCTCAAACTCCTGAACTCAGGTGATTTGCCCTCCCAAAGTGCTGGGATTACAGGCGTGAGCCACTGCACTCAGCCCGCCATGATCAATTTTTAACTCAATCTCCAGTCTTGCTCTCCTTCCTGGAAGATGGAGGGTGGGACTGAAAGTTCTAGGCTTCTAATCATGGTTTGGTCTTTCTGATAACCAGCCCCCACCCAGGAACTTACCAAGTCACCTCATTAGAACAAAAGATGCTCCTATCACCCAGGAAACTCCAAGGGATTAGGAACTCTGTGTCAGTAACTGGGGTCAAAGAACAGGTATTAGAACAAAAGATGCACCTGGCACCCCTGTTGGTCAGGAAAATTGCAAGGGTTTCAGGAGCTCTGGGCCAGGAACTGGGGACAAGGACCAAATTATTTATTTATTATGAATCACAATATCACACTATTTTATATAATAATGTGTTTGTTTCCAATGTTTTTTAATCCCAACATTTGGTACAGGTTAATTCTTTTCTGAAAAGGAGAACAGGAATTTGGGCCATAGATGGGCTTCCTTTGACAAACAAGAAGTAATACAAAGGGACTTAATAAAAGGTCCAAGAAATAATCATTCCCCCATAGTGACACTGGTGAAATCCTTCTTAGAGTGGTATTTAAAGATTGTTATCTGTAAATTTTTTAAGGGATATGCTTAAAGCTAAAATAAGAATGCCAGAAATTATTTATCAGTCTCAGGGGAGAAAGTCTGTTTTGGAATTTGTTTACTCTAAGGGAGAGAATGGCAGAGGTTGACGAAGATCTTAGCCTATCATAATGATGATAATGCAGATGACGGTTATAAGGATAATGGCAGTTATTTATTATGAGTTGTCTATTTGTCAGACACTGTGCAGGGCACTTTATATTCTACATAAGCCTCATGCATGCATGCTAGATGTTCATATCACCATTTTACAGAGGAGGAGATGGAAGCTAAAAATGCAGTATCTCACTGAAAACACAAGCCAATGGATCTCTCTGGCATCAAAACCTGTACTTTTCATTTGGAGTGTGCTTCCAGTATATAGTCATAAAAATAAGTGCTTTGATGCTCACAGGAGCCTTAGGAAATAGAAATTGGGAGAAAGATCCCAAATGTAATATTTTCCTAAACATCTTTCTTGCATTTTTGACCAAAAGTGGTCACATTGCAAAGTAAACTGACTTGCAGGTGGATGTGCTTGTGTGCCTCTGTTGATCCAGTTCTCACAGCCAGTAGGAGGAGATTGAATCGAATAATAATGCTCTTGACACCTGGCTTTCTTAGGAATTTGATCTCACAGAGACATCCAGATGTCACAGTTACAGCCCCCAAGTAGCTGAACCTGGCTTTTAAACTCTAGTTTTCAAGTATTGGCTAAATCTTTCTTGCCAAAGTAAAGCACGAGGCTGTGTTCAGCTTGTAGAGTTCTAACTGGTGCTAAAACAGCCTCATCTTCTTCATCTCTAATCCCATCCCTTTATACTTCTTTAAAGTTGTCTTTTGCAATTCTAAGGACCTATTCATTAGTGGTTCCTTTATGCAAGACAGGTCTATAATTCCTGGCTTCCCAGAGTCCCTCCTCTCTCCACTCCTTCATGCTGCTACCCATTCCTAATCTTGATAGACCATGGTCCATGCCTGGTATCACACATTGAGACTCAGACTTCATTTTCTCTTAGAATCAATATTATAAATTAATATTATAAAATATTATATAATATAAATATAAATATTCATAAAATATTATAAATATAAATATTTATAAAATATTATAAATCCCTTAGAATTAATATTATATTATAAATATTATAAATTGGATCACTGAAATCCCATTAGAGGCAGTTTGTTTGTGTAATTGAAAAGTTGCTGCATTTTAAAATATTGATTCTATTCAAAAATATGTCTTTAAATTTCAGACAAGTTTGTAGACTGTGTTGTCTTGAAGCAGCAGTCTTTGGCGAGTTAATGCTGACCCCGCTTTTCTTCTTCATAAGACAACATCCCATGCTGGAGGGAGTGGGGGAGAGGGTGGGCGTGCTCCCTGTCCTCTTGGAGCTTGGAGTCTACAAGAAGGCAAATTAAACCAATAATTGTTGGCTGTTGAACCCTAAGACAATTTCAACAGCTTTTTAGAATTTTATTATGAAAAATTTTAAACCTGTGCAAGAGTAGAGAGAATCTATAACCTCATGTACCCATCACCCAGTGTCAGTATTACTGACACAGGCCCAAACTTATTTTACCTTTTCATTCCACATCCTGGATTATTTTGAAACAGTTCTCAGAAATTAAACCTAAAATAGATGGGCTTTTCCTTTTTTTTTTTTTTGCATAACCACTGAACAGTGAACAGTACGCAGTGAGTGTTCACATTTCTGTAGTTGCTTCGTAAATGTTCTGTACAGTTGATTTATTGAAAATAGGATCCAGACAAGGTTTACACATTGCAGTTGATGTGTCTTTTAAATCTGTTTTCATCTGTAATTCCCTCTCATCATTTCCTGAAAGTTTATTTGTCAAAGAAACCACATTGCTTTATTCTATAGGGTTTTTCACATCTGGATTTTGCAGCTGCATTTGCAGTATCATCATTTAACATGTTCTTTTTGTCCCCCTGTATCTTCTATAAAGTAGAACTCAGGTGTAGGGGCTGGATGAGATTCTGTATTCCGGATCAGTTTTTACAGTGGGACTGCTTCATAGCTGGTGCTACGTATCACACTAGGAGGCACACAGTGTCTGGTGGTCTCTCTTTTTATAATGTGAAGGTTGGTCATGGCTTTGCGAGGTCAACATCAATTTTAAGATGCACCATCAATTATAGGTATGACTTTTTGGAGGAGAAAAAAAGAAACCTTGGGCTGGGCATGGTGGCTCATGCCTGTAATCACAGCACTTTGGGAGGCCCAGGTGGGCGGATCACAAGGTCAGGAGTTTGAGACCAGCCTGGTGTTTGAGACCATGTTTGAGACCAACATGGTGAAACCCTGTCTCTACTAAAAATACAAAAATTAGCCAGGTGTGGTGGCATGCGCCTGTAATCCCAGCTACTCGGGAGGCTGAGACAGGGGAATCATTTGAACCCGGAAGGCGGAGGTTGCAGTGAGCTGAGATTGCGCCACTGCACTACAGCCTAGGCAACAGGGTGAGACTCTGTCTCAAAAAAAAAAAGAAAAAAGAAAAAGAAACTTTACGTTGAAAGTGCTACACATTGTAATATATTGAAATAGTCACCCTAATTCTCAAAACAATACAGTGTGAAAAAGGCATGTCATAGATTCAAGGAAGCACAATCGTTACAAAGGGGACAGCCTGTGCAGAGGCCCTGATTGGGGGTGTGGGGAGCTGGGACCAGTCTGGTACAGAAGGAGTGTAGGGATCAAAAGGCAGAGGGCCCTGCCTGAGGCTAAGGAGGCGGCCAGGGCTGAGCCAGCTGGGATGAGGAGTTTGGGTTATTCTAAATGTACGAAAAGGCCATGGAAGGTTTATAAGCAGAGGAGCTACATGACCTGTGTTGATGTTTTAGGAGATCAATCAATAATACCTCCATTTCTAGTGGAGTTTGGAAACAGAAACAAGAGTTCAAAATCTCAGCTGATTTCTTCCTGTAAAAGCTCAGTGGAGCAGATAGCTTTAGACCTGGGCTGAATTAAGCAAGCCTGTCTTCCCCTCGCCCATTAGACAACCACAAGCTTCTTCTACAAAGCAGGGCCTGACCCATAAAAGTTGCTGCATGGCTGGGGGAGCTGATGAGAACCTGTGCTGTCTGTAGGCAGGTAATTTCCAAAGAGGACCCAAAAGAGGTTGGATCTCTTTCTTCTTCCAAAGTCAGCAACTGCCCCAGAGAGGAGTGAACAGATAGTTGGGCTGGAGACCCGGTGTGTGCAGTAGTGGAGATCCTTCTGCACTGGGACGGGCATGCTACCCAACCCCTTTCTCCCCGCCCTCCTGCCCCAGACACCTTTACACACATGCATGCACATTCCATGATCTGATGATGATTTTCAAGATCTCTCTGTAGTCTGAAGCTGGATGTGAATGCCCAGGTGCTTATTATAGCATCGTCTATACTTTGTTATATGCCTTACACATTCCACAGTTTTCGAAAGCTGTTATTACGGAAGTCTAAGCAAGAAATAATAGTGGCAGTGAGATGGATAAAAGAACAACCTGGGGAGGTAAAATGAATAGGACTTGGTATTTGGTTAGGTGTCCAGCAAGCGAGGCAGAGGGTAGGGTTGCCAAGATCAGCCTAGGAGCAGTTGGGAGTCAGCAGAATCTGTCTTTACCCATATTTTGCTCACAGACATTGTCCACTTGACCCCCTTTCCAGGCTTCAGCTCTCCGCTGTCTTCGGTTAAAGCCTGTGCCTCCTGGTTCCCAGGGTTCTGCCTGCACGCAGCTCTCTGGCTGCTTTAAACGGCAGTGCCCTGTGGCCCTTCCGGGACCAGGACCTCAAGTCTTACGAAGGGGATAACTGGTAAATCTGTTCATTACTAACTATACTGCAAATAGATGGATTGGTCTTTATGATTTTTAAAGTGCCTTCCCACATGTCAAAGCGTAGAAATACTTAATAGAGTATAAAGGCCTCCAGAGTTATCTGCAAGCTGTGATTACTTTAAGAGTAGCCTTCTAAAAACAGATCTTATCCCTTCCTTATCTAACTCTACACAGTGTATTCCAGAGTAAAGAAGAGGGTGGGGTGGTTGAGACATTTGAGTTGATGGGACGTGGCCGTGCTCCTTAACCTAATATATAACCTGCTTCAGCCTAAGGGCATTTCCCTCTGTCAGCCTGCGATTCTCTGTGACAAGAACGTGCTGTTCCAGAGTCCGGGAAGAGACTTTTCATCTTATTGCAGGGCAGTTTTTTTTTTTTTTTTTAAGCCTTATCTTGACTCATCCGTATTGAATTTTATCCTCCTTTCTCCAGATTTCCCATTTACACAGCATAATCTCACATCATACTAGTGCTCAAAAAATAGAATTCTTAAAAATGTTTGTTCAGCTTTGCAAGTTGAAACGCATTTTATCTGAGAAGGAAATCTGATGTGTGGTGGGTTTCAGAAGAGACAGGGAAGCTCTTTTGCTCTCAGGAAGTATTTCTGGAATTTAAAACTATTATAGTTTATAGGAATTTTTTTCAGCTGGCTGATAATAGGGGGTGAATATTTGCCAACTCTTACTACTGCCTATCAAATTAATTTTGGGAAGAAAGGATGTGAAATGTAGAGATTCCCGATAAATGTTATATTATCATATTGTCATGCAGTCATATGATAAGATATTAAATTACTTAGAAATATGTATAATCAAAAACAAAGATACTAGAAATGGAACCAAAATTCTTAAAAGCTTTGTAATTTTTAATATTTAAATTATGTAGTATCTGATATATTTTGGGGGAGGGGAGTTCTCTGTTCTTTTAATTACTGAAGTTGGGTGCTTTTCTTCTTTTTTCTAGCGTAACTATTTAAGGCTTTACATTTTCCTCTAAAGTTCAATTTTTACATGGTATATTTTCATTATCATTATGGCACATTAAAAAAATTATATTATGATTTCTTCTTTAATCCATGATATTTAGAAATGTGTGTTTAAATTTCCAAATCTATTGGGAATCTTGTATTTGTGCTTTAGTTACTGGCTTTAATATTGTTGCCCTGTGGTCAGATGACATGATCTATGTCATACCACCTCTTTAGGATATGTTGAGCCTTTGTAAAATTATTTTGCTTCTCATTTTAATGCAGCTTTTGCAATTCACAGCAAAGCAGTTTTGATTTATAAACTCAAATACTTGTCCATTTTCCCTCAAGACCCTTAAGTTATTAAAACTTTCTCTTTTTTTTTACTGAGCAGGACTTTTTAGTTGTCAAGGTCATATCTGTTCTCTTCATTTACCTGTGGAATCCTAGAAGCAAGTTGATTTCTAGAGTTTCACTAATTATTCACTTTTTTAAATAGGAGTATGCTGTGAACTGCCATGTGATCACCTGGGAGAGGATTATCAGCCACTTTGATATATTTGCATTTGGACATTTCTGGGGCTGGGCCATGAAGGCCTTGCTGATCCGTAGTTACGGTCTCTGCTGGACAATCAGTATTACCTGGGAGCTGACTGAGGTAAGAAGGAGGGCATTGGGGGTTCCCCAGACTGTGCCGTGTGTGTAGGTTTTATATATAGGAAAAAGTATGTCCGTTAATAGTTAATCCATTCTCCAGCCCCTGTGGTACAAAATATATTTAAACCATCCCATAAGAATATTTTATACTTCTGTTTAAAAAACAAGCAAATATTTAAAAAAACCTCCTTGTTAACTTAATAAAGTGTACCTTGGTCCTGCAAGTGTTAAAGAGAAACAAATGAAATAAAGCTAAAGAATGAAGTTAAAATTCCAAGTAAGACAAATAAATGGGAATGAGGAGATCTGCTTAGAATTCAATAGATCAGTTGACCTACTAACTAGCTTCCAATTTGAGATAATAGAATTTTGTGTTCAAGTACTATAAGAGCATCCAGGGTATTTGGTAGCTGCAAAATGGATTCTAAATGTTAGCTCTAATATGTCAGTAATCAAAAGTTTGTTGCATTTCCTTAATAAAAGAATTATAGTCTTGAAAAACTATTAGCAAAATGAAATTTTGGGAACTACCTCTTTATTGTTCTATTATTCTTAATCATTCCCAGTGAACAGCATTTGGCCACATGCACAGTATACTTCTCCATGCTCATCATTGTCCTGACCCTAACTTAGAGACGTGTGCCAGCTAGATGTGGCTTCCGTTAATGTGCCTCTCACTGTTCTGGAGGCCAGAAGTCCAAGATCAAGGCATTGGCAGGACTGGTTCCCCCTGGGGCCTTTTGGAGCATTTGTTCCAGGCTCCTCCTCTATCTTTGTGGTTTGCTGGCAGTCGTGGTCCCTGGGCTTGTTGATGCATGGCCCCTTCGTGGTCACGTGGCGTTCTCCCTGTTCATGTCTGAGGCTTCATGGTGTTCTTTTTTTGTTTTCTTTTTTGAGATGGAGTCTCGCTCTGTCGCCCAGGCTGGAGTGCAGTGGCGCGATCTCAGCTCACTGCAACCTCCGCCTCCCGGAGGGTTCAAGTGACCCCTGCCTCAGCCTCCCAATAGCTGGGACTACAGGTGTGCGCCACTACACCCAGCTAATTTTTTGTATTTTTAGTAGAGATGGGGTTTCACCATGTTAGCCAGGATGGTCTCAATCTCCTGTCCTCATGATCTGCCTGCCTCAGCCTCCCAAAGTGCTGGGATTACAGGCGTGAGCCACCGTGTCCAGTCCCATGTGTTTTTCATAAGGACACACGAGCATTCCCTTTTATAAGGATACAGGTCACATTGGATTAGCAGCTCACTGTACTCCCTATGACCTCATCTTGACAAAGTACCTCTCCAATGACTCTATCTCCAAATAAGCTCAAATTCTGAGGTATTGGAGGTTAGGGCTTCAACACTGGAATTTTGAGAGGACACAACTCAACCGATCCATAATAGTGCCCAACACTTTACATATGCCTTCTGAGTCCTCACGACAAACCAGGAAAGGCGGTGTATACAGATTCCCACTGTACAGATGGGGGAGCTGGAGCGCACTGCCTTGCTTCCTTAGGTGAGCCAGGATTGGATTCCAGATGTGAAGCCCACATTCCTGCCCTTACACCACATTCCGCCTCTGAATTCCAAGCGTCTTTGGAACCCGGCTGCTGCATGGGCTTGTGTCAGGCACTTGGCCCTTGTCGGCCTCACTTGCTTCCTGCTTGCACTGCAGACTCGGCATCTGCTGTACCTTCTTTCCCTACTTCCCAGTGCCTGTGGTCGCCAGGCCCTATAGATTTCTATAGAGTCTTCTAAGCACCCAGTCGTCCACTGACGTCTCTTCAGACCTCTGCTTCCACTTGTCTCTAATCCACGGTCATCTCCGTCTGAGTTGCTTGTCTCTTCACTGTTTATTGCCAAATGATCCTCTTTAGACCCCACCAGACCAAGGCTCTTTCCTACTCAGAGCTCTTTAGTGTTTGTCCATTACTCTTTTTTGAGACAGAGTCTTACTTTGTTACCCAGACTGGAGTGCAGTGGTGCGATCTCGGCTCACTGCAACCTCCACCTCCTGGGCTCAAGCGATTCTCTTGCCTCAACCTCCCAAGTAGCTAGGATTACAGGCGTGTGCCACCACACCCAGCTAATTTTTAATTTTTAGTAGAGATGGGGTTTCACCATGTTGGCCAGGCTGGTCTCTTAACTCCTGACCTCAAGTGATCCGCCTCCCTCAGCCTCCCAAAGTGCTGGGATTACAGGTGTGAGCCACCGTGCCAGGCCTCCATTACTCTTAAAATAGAATCCAAACTTCCAACCCTGCCTACGAGGCTCCAGGTTCACCGGCCCCTGCCTGCAGCCTCAGCCTCATCATGCCTCATTTTTGCCCTTGGTGCTGCAGCCGCCTCTGCTGTCTTCCCTGCCGCAGAGTCCTCCCCACTGCTCTTCCCTCTCTTCTCGCCCTTCACCTGCTAACAAGCTGTCTCCAGAGCTCAGCTCCGGAAGGCTTTCCCTGCCCCTCCAGTAACTGTGCTCCATCTTCATACAGCTGGAAATAGAACACCTCGCCACTCTCCTTTGAAATGCTCCTCATGTGTTAGATACTTGATAAGTGTCTCTTCTGCTAAACCTTGTGCCTCAAGAGGGCAGGCCCATGCCTGTGTATTCCCAGACCCAAGGACTTTGCCTTCTACGCGGCAGATGCTCCACAAATCTGTAGTGAATGAAGGAATGCAGCCCCCTCCTCCTTGGGCTTGGGTCTGTGGGGGGCCCATCTCACCCCCAGAACCTGGTACCTTCAAGGAAAGTTTCTTAGGCTGGAGGATGTCCTCCACATCCCACTTTCTCTTGCATAGTTTTCTTTCAGCAAATATGTGTCATAGACTTCTGCTGAAGTTTCTCTCTTCTCTAAGGACAAGAGTTAAGATTCCATCTCGTGGCTTGGAACCTGGGAATACACTTGAAGGGTAGTACCAGGCCCCCAGGGTTAAGAATGCAGCCACAAGCCATCACATGCAGCAGCTATTCTGTAGCTTCTTGACAGCAGGTTCATTAAGAACAAAAAATTCCTCATATTTATAATTTGTTTATAGCTTACAAAATGCTTTCATGAATACTGTTTTATCTTTGTGGTATTTATTATATTGCTTCAAAGGTTTATAATTACAGGCTTGTCTCTTTCCAGAGAACTCCCAGGCATTGTCTTAATAATTTCACCTCCTTACATTGGACCTTCACACAGCAGGGCATGCTGTTCTGAACACAGCAGATACGTCCTTTGTTTTGAACAAACTGATTTACAGAGGACTTCTGTTCCACCCTTGATCTTACTGTTTCCCTTTCCTGGAATGCCCATATCTTCATCTCCATCTCATGAAATCAGTCATTCTTGTCCTTAATGTCCTTAATGTTCCCCCTCCAATATGTCTTTCTTGCAGAAGATCTCTCCAGGAAAGTTCCAGAGGCCAAAGGAACCTTCAGCCTCAGTCAGAATGCATGTTTTTTCCACCATACTCCATTTATGTCACCATTGTAACACTTTCCTCAGTCTATCATATTTTGTGGTTCTGTTTATCTGGATAAACATCTGATCCTAGCACTTTGGGAGGCCGAGGCAGGCGGATCATGAGGTCAGGAGTTTGAGACCAGCCTGGGCAACATAGTGAAACTCTGGCTCAACTAAAAATACAAAAATTAGTGGGCGTGGTGGTGTGTGCCTATAATCCCAGCTACTTGGGAGGCTGAGGCAGGAGAATTGCTTGAACCCGGTAGGCAGAGGTTGCAGTGAGCCGAGATCGCACCACTGCACTCCAGCCTGGGCATCAGAGCAAGACTCTGTCTCAGAAAAAAAACCCAAAAATACAACATCTGACTCCTCCCCTTGAAATCAAGACCCTTGACTTCCTTTTCTCTCACCACCTTGCACATCAATGGGCACTTAATAAAAGATTGTCATTATTGTGAATCACTTGGTTTGAGATTTCCTATTAAACTGTCATGCTTCCTACATCGTGTCATCAAGAGCTAACTGTTCTTTTACAACTTACTCAGTGTTTTACCTAAATATCTAGGGGATATTTTTGAAATGCACAACTTGAATTCTCAAGCTGCTAATTTTGAGAATTATGACAATGCTTTGTTGTCAGGGTTGGAAACTTTTCTCCTTTTCCTCTCCCAGATTCTTGTCACGTTGTCCTTAGCCAAGGTAATTAAGTGGTAGTATTTTTCAGGAGAGACCATCCTTTCTTTAAAGCCCTGTGTCAAAAAGAGAAGAACTGTTTGGATATGTGCTGTTTGTTTGCAAGCCATCTGCAATATAAAAAATAAGAAACAGATTGCAGAACCTGTTACTGTTGGTTATTTTCTATACGTTAGGAAAAAATGAAATGTCAATGACTTCTTCTGAAATAATGTATTATTAAAAAGGAAATGTATCTATCTGCATGGTAACCCAGTTTTGTTTATTATTTCAACCATGGTTTCTTGTGTTTCTCAGCTCTTCTTCATGCATCTCCTCCCCAATTTTGCTGAGTGCTGGTGGGATCAAGTGATTCTGGACATCCTGTTGTGCAATGGCGGTGGTATTTGGCTGGGCATGGTCGTTTGCCGGTTTTTAGAGATGAGGACTTACCACTGGGCAAGCTTCAAGTGAGTTGCCTTCTTTTTGGATATTAGTCACAGGTTTTCATGACATATATTTAATTGTTTTGGTAGGAATCCATTTTAGTATGGTCTTTGATGATAAGGAATAAATTCCATGTTAATAACTGAAACTCATAAATGATTATAAACCTGATTTCAAGCATTTGTTCAGAAAATGCTCAAACATTTATGATTTTCTCTTTCTCACCCTATGTATTCAGGGGGTCCTAACACCATCCTCTTAATTCAAAAGATTTCTCAAATCTACCCCCTCTTTTATCCCAACTGCCTCAGCCGTCATTCAGACTCCTATCCCTGGATCAATTCGTCTGTTTCCAGGTTAAGTCCTCCAGTCCTTCCCACAACATTGCTTGAGTGATCTTTTTGAAAACATCAGATTAATCATGTCATTCCCCTGTGATGGCTTCTCATGGTCTTTGGTTATGGTCAATACATCCATTGCCCCAGTAGGGAGATCCTTTCTCTATACCCTCCTAGGCACCCGAGGGTCTGTTTGTGCACATGCTCCCCTCTCTTCACCTGAGACTTGGCCTCTGTACCCATAGGCCAGCCTGATCATCCTTTTCTTCGCTGACTCAGCTCACTTGCCACCCAGGAAGTTCTCTGACTAGTTTTAAGTTGCATGCCCCACTGTGCTTCCAGTGGAAGACAGTCACACTGCCGGCATTGCTTTATCCTGCTTTGTTAAACTTCCTTCTCAGTTTGCAGCAGGAATCATGCCATTGATAAGGAAGAATAATGATAGTGATAATGAAAGCTGTGGTTGCTTCAGTTGTGTTTAAAACTGTGTTTACTTTATATAACAAAATAGCATTTTCCCCCATCATTAAATATTCTTCTAAAACATGATTTTAAAGGGCTTCTTTGTACTTCAACATACGGATAAACCATGTAGTATTTAACCCGTTCCGTTTTATGGGCCTTTAGTTGTTTCAAAGTTTTGCTTTTATAAAGAAGACTGGAGTGATCATTCTTGGACATATATCTTAGTGTGCATCGTCTTTTTTTTTTTTGGTAAACAAATTCTTAGAAATAGAGTGTACCAGTTTATAATCTCACCTGTAATATATATGTGTATCCATTTCACTATTGCCTTGAACTGCATTTTTAAACCTTTGTCAAATTTATCGCACATAAAATTGTGATACTGGATTTCTATCAATTTCTATTGGATTTACCCTCTTTTATTTGTGCTTTCTATAGATTAAGCTTATTAAGACTTTGCCATAAATGTGACTTTATTTTCCATTTTGTCATCTTGTTTTTTTTGTTTGTTTTTTTGAGATGGAGTCTCGCTCTGTCGCCCAGGCTAGTGTGCAGTGGTGCAATCTCAGCTCACTGCAGCCTCCGCCTCCCGGGTTCAAGCAATTCTTCCGCCTCAGCCTCCCAAGTAGCTGGGACTTCAGGCACATGCCAGCACGCCTGGCTAATTTTTGTTTTTAGTAGAGATGGGGTTTCACCATGTTGGCCAGGCTGGTCTCAAACTCCTGGCCTCAGGTTATCATTCGCCTCGGCATCTCAGAGTGTTGGGATTATAGGCGTGAGCCACCATGCCCAGCCTGTCATCCCCTTTTAAACTAGTTTGTGGTGGATTTTTTATTTAAACATCAAAAATACTGTTAATCTTTTTGTTTAGGTAAATTTTAACTAGTATTTTCTTGTAGTTTCTAGTTTTGTTTGTTTGTTTTTTGAGACAGAGTTTCACTCTTGTTGCCCAGGTTGGAGTGCAATGGCACGATCTCGGCTCACCGCACCCTCTGCCTTCCAGGTTCAAGCGATTCTCCTGCCTCAGCCTCCCGAGTAGCTGGGATTAGCCACCACGTCCGGCTAATTTTTTTTTTTTTTTGTATTTTAGTAGAGACGGGGTTTCTCTGTGTTGGTCAGGCTGGTCTCTAACTTCTGATCTTAGGTGATCCACCCGCCTCAGCCTCCCAAAGTGCTGGGATTACAGGCGTGAGCCATCGCGCCCGGCCTTTCTTCTAGTTCTTTAATGGTTTTTCTTGTTTTAAGTGTTTAATCTGTCTTAAATTTATTTTGGTATATGATGTGAGGAGGAGATTTCACAATGTTTTTTCCATTGGTTAACCAGTTTTCCCCATCCCTTTTATTACTAAACCTTTCTTTGGTCACTGACTTGCAAGGACACTTTTTAATATATTTAATTTTAATTCTAATTTTTATGTATTTATTTTTTTGAGACAAGAGTCTTGCTCTGTTGCCCACATTGGGGTGCAATGGTGCAATCTCGACTCACTGCAACCTCCACTTCCCGGGTTTAAGCAGTTATCCTGCGTCAGCCTCCCCAGTGCCTGTAATTCACAGCTAGCATTACAGGCATGCACCACCACACCCAGCTAATTTTTGTATTGTTAGTAGAGACAGGGTTTCTCCATGTTGGCCTGGCTAGTCTCGACCCCAGCCTCCTAAAGTGCTGGGATTACAGGCATGAGCCATCATGCCCAGTCACTTTTTAATATATTTAAGGCAGCATTTAACCTAACAAAAATAGTAGCCATGCTTCAAGTATTGCTCCAAGCAAGCTTCACAAGCAGTATCTCATTTGAGCCTTGCATCAGTCCTGGGGGTAGACACTGTTACTCTCTTCATTTTAGGAATGATGCGATACTGAGGCTTAGGTTTAGTAATTTGCCTAAGGACACATAGCTAGCAAGCAGCTGAGTCTGAATTTGCACCAGAATGTCTGCTTTCCTTTTTGTTGTTGTTGTTGTTATTTTTGAGACAGAGTCTGTCGCACAGGCTGGAATGCAGTGGCACAATCTCAGCTCACTGCAACCTCCGTCTCCCAGGTTCAAGTGATTCTCCTGCCTCAGCCTCCTGAATAGCTGGGACTACAGGCACCTGCCATCACACCTGGCTAATTTTTGTATTTTTAGTAGAGACAGGGTTTCACCGTGTTGGCCAGGCTGGTCTCAAACTCCTGACCTCAAGTGATCTGCCAGCCTTGGCCTCCTAAAGTTCTGGGATTAGAGGCATGAGCCACCGTGCCTGGCCTCAGGATGTCTGCTTTCTTAAACACTGCTACAATATACTTCACTTCAATATACTTCCTTGTTTTCTTATGTTCATTCTTGAAATTTGACTTCAGAATCATTTTGTCAAGTTCCCAAGACATAAGGCCAACTAATAAACAACAACAAAAACTCATGTTGGTGGTTTTTTAAAGTAATATTAAATGTATAAATGAATACAGATTAAGTTGAATTAACCTCTTTGCTGTATTAAATATCCTGATTCTTGATCACGCTGCATCTCTACTTATTCCCATTTTCTTTTCAGTCTTTCTATGCACTTTGCTATTTTTACAGTATAAGTCTTTTGTAGTTCTTGTTTTTTTTGGATGGTCTCTGTTTTTTGCTGCCAGTGTGCCGCAGATCTTCTTGCTGTGATGTTTTCTCAGTAGAGTTTGTTGGTGGATAGGTGGGTGGATGAAGGAACAGCCCTGGTTTCCTATCACTCTCCCTGCTCCCATCCGGTAGAACAGAAGGCCTGACTGGTTGGTGCTTGTGCCTCCAAGCACTTAGCACAATGTTGGAGACATGAAAGTTCATGAAATAAATATTTGTGGAATTAAAGACTCATTACCAGTTATTAAATAGTATTTATTATACCTTGGGTTTTGGCTCTCCTGGACTAGGACAGGAAGGGCTGGAATCTACACCCACCCCTAATGCTGAGTGTGGCAGCCACTTGCTGTCTCTGAGCCTTAATGTCCACATTTGTAAATTATAGGACTGTTTAGTTCTTTCATGGGTGTATGAAACTTTTGAGTAATTTCGAGGATGAAAATGAAGAAGGGTTAAATATCGCTGTTCATCAACCCAAAGTGTTTACTGCTCTGGGGAAGAAATAGGGTAAAGAAGTGATGTGGGTAATGCAAGAATATGGAGTGTGTGCAGTTTTACCTGGGAGAGAAGCAGTGGGTGAGAACAGTCTCCTTGCTGCCCTGTGCCTGTCATCCGTACAATTCCCCATTGAGTGTGCTTCTGTCACCTGCTTTACCTGTATAAATAGAGAGACTTTTGAGACACAATTCAAATAAAAAGCAGTCTCTTTGTCCTGAGCATTTGTTATAAAAATCATCAGCGCACAGGATTTTTTTCTTGTGGTTTGTTTTTCCCCCTGCCTTATCTCTGGATTTTCACTGGAGCCATTCTCTTCTTACAGGGACATTCATACCACTACCGGGAAGATCAAGAGAGCTGTGCTGCAGTTCACTCCTGCTAGCTGGACCTATGTTCGATGGTTTGACCCCAAATCTTCTTTTCAGAGAGTAGCCGGAGTGTACCTTTTCATGATCATCTGGCAGGTATTTTTTCAGATGCCTAGAAGTTGGGAGGAAAACAAAGACTAAAATAAAAACTTTTTAGGAATTTAGAGTTAACGTTAGTTTACATTGCTTTTCAGTGCCATACTTTACAAGATATAATATTCTGCAGCTGGCATGTAGAATAATTAAGCAAAGTGATATTATGATGCCTAAGGTCTTGCCTCATTGTGAAGACAGCTTTAAAATATGGATCTTTGAATTACAAATTAGAAACAGGTTAGATTCCATGAAATAAATTGTGTCTAGCATCCATCATCCAATGAGTTAGGCATTGGATTGCTTTTTAGAATGATCATTTTTAAGACCAAAGGAACAAATGAGAAGGCTTTTCTTACATTCCTAATTTAGTGTTTATTGGTTAAAATTGTTCCTCAGCTGTGACCACTTTGGGTAATCTGTAGGGTGCTAAATGAGTGCCAGGGAATTGGAGGCTTTTGCTGAGTCCTCCAGAGTGTTGTCCTCCGTGGAGAGAAGCTGTATTTCCAAGTGGCCCACTTCACGACGGAAGTGATTCCGACAGCCCAGGGTCTTGGCAAAAGATTATGAAGCATCTGTGTTTCTGACTGACAGCAATTTTTTCTGATGCTCCTGGCCCCAGGTTGTTTCACAACTTTTGGAGAGTAGCCAAGAGAAACCAGCTTTTGCCTGAAGAGGGTCTTTCAGAATCATCAGAAATCATGTTTTGGACACATAAACACAAAATACTCCCAACATAAGGAAAACATTAGCAGATGTCACTTTTAGGACAGACAATCTTCCTTGTTCACACAGAGACAATACCCATGTCAATAAGTGGAGTTTATGCATACAGAAGTGTATGTGAATAGTTAAGTAAGTAGTCACCATGGTTTGGAGAGGTCAGTACCTTTAAAAACAGGACCGTAGATGGGTTGGGATTAAGCTTTGCCTTATCAGGCCCAATGTCATGGAAAGCAGAAGCTTTCTTTTATTAGAAGGAAGAATGATTGGATTTGTCAAGGAGGGTAGTATAGTGCTGCTAGGGTGGAACCACCTGGTGGTATGCGATGGAGCACACCTGGATCCGGGATCCAGCCAGAGAGCAGCCATGTCCCAGCCACAAGATATTTTGTGCTACTCATCATGATGAACTGCATGAAGATGCTAACCTCAGGGAAAAGGACTACTGCTCCCAGCTGAAACTTGGACCAACCCTTCACACCCACTTTTAAGGACTGCCTTTGGTAGAGGATCCGCTCTGTCCCAGGCGTGTGCTGCACAAGTCCATCGTCATCTCTCAGACGTGTCTCCAGCTTCTTCTTTTGCTTTTTTTTGAGATGGAGTTTCACTCTTGTCACCCAAGTTGGAGTGCAGTGGCACAATGTGGGCTCACTGCAGCCTGCAACCTCTGCCTTCTGGGTTCAAGCAATTCTCCTGTCTCAGCCTCCTGAGTAGCTGGGATTACAGGCGCCCATCACCACACCTGGCTAATTTTTGTATCTTTAGTAGAGATGGGATTTCACCATTTTGGCCAGGCTGGTCTCAAACAACTTACCTCAGGCGATCTGCCTGCCTTGGGCTCCCAAAGTGCTGGGATTATAGGCGTGAGCCACTGCGCATGGCCTCAAGCTTCTTTTGATTATTAAAGAGCTTACTTATCTACAGTGGGAATTCTCTTAGACCTGGCCTGATTTCTGTACGGCAGCATAGGTGTTCTGTGGCACAGGTTTGCTTTCATGATTTCTGTATGCTGAAAGCATTTCTCTCCTGACTATCCCAGTAGATCACACGTGTGAGCTGAGTAACAATAATACAAACGAGGAAACATGACAAATAGCTGATATCCTGTGCCCCTACGTGCCCATCCACCACCCCCACCACCTCTCCCTGGGCCTCCAATTGGTCCCTGCCCATAATGTACTGGCTGTTAACTAGTTTGAATAGCAACCCTTGGAAGACCACATCTATTCTCTGAAAATGCTTTGAACATACCAATTATTTCTAATTGTAGAATGTCTATTTAAAGAATAGAGGATTTTGAATTAGCACGAGGTACCAGGTTGACTAATTTCTCCGTCTTTTTCAGCTGACTGAGTTGAATACCTTCTTCTTGAAGCATATCTTTGTGTTCCAAGCCAGTCATCCATTAAGTTGGGGTAGAATTCTCTTTATTGGTGGCATCACGGCTCCCACAGTGAGGTAATTCTGCACAAGCCTGACTGTCATATGAGAACATTAACTTGCTTTAGATTGTCCTGTTTAGCATAAGAAAAGTCACATAAACTAGCAGATTTTCCATGAAAATATCATCATAAAGAATTATACATCCAGAATATGAAGAAAATGTTTTGTTCTCAGATGTCAGTAACATTAACCAGACATTAAAAAAGGGAAGCACTTGATCAACACCACACCATAGTACTATCCATTATCATCAGATTCCTTTACAGTCTTGGACTGCTGATCTTTTTTTCTCCTATAACATCATATTAGAAAAAAATAACAGCATAGTGATGCTGAGTTTTTTAAAAATGAGATTACTGGAAAAATGCAAACGTTTTTATGGTAGAACTGAAGTCATAAATGACATTATTTTTTGAATGAGGCTTTTAGCTTTTTCAGACCCAATTAATTTAATTTCCTTTTAAAAAGGCCCTTCCTGCAGTCCTCCAGGACAACTGAGATAAGCTTGGGTGTTCCCGCCATTATCCCCTGGATTCATGTGGGGCCCTAGAGGTGAGGCTTATTCAGACACCATCCCTCAAGTAGGCTGGTTCCAGTGCGGTTCAAAGCAAGCATTTTCATTTGTTTCATTTTTCCTAGTTAGAAACGGCATTTGGGTTTTATAACTAATATGGAATACTGGCATTAAAGAGTAGCAAGACCAAAAATCTGCCAAAGGTACAAATATAATCTAAGCAGTTAAAAGAGTTAGCTTTTCAGAAGCTGTAAGATTGCTTATTTCATTATTTTTAATGTGCTTGCAAACCCCACAAGCAGCGGGCCTTACTTGCCAAGGACGGTAGATCCACACCTTGGTCAAACAGACCTTCCAGCCAGCACCTCTTCTTGTTATCATTCATTATTACCAAAAAAAAAAAAAAAAAAAAAAAAAAAAAAAAAAAAATCTCCAGATCCTGGATTCAACAAACCAAGTAAGACACGTCCAAATCCTGAGGAGTTAAGCCTAACATTCCCATCTGTTCTTTTTGTTATGACCAGAATGGAAAAGAAGAGTGGGTAAGCCAGCAGCCCTTTGAAACTTCATAGATCAGTGGTCTATTGCAGTCATTATCTCATAAATCCTGTTTTTTCTTAATGGTTTAGAGTACCCATTTAAAATGTAATTTAATTTGAGACTTTACAATTTTTTCAGAAAAGATTCACTGCAGCTCTTTCATAAAATTAAGAGCAATCAATAAAGTAAGAATGGAAAGAAGTTTCTTCTTAGAACAGAATAGCAAATTACATATGATTTATCATAAAATTTCAGTATTAAACATTCCAAAACAAAAACTAGACACTAAAAATCCAATGTTTTGAACTCTTGAGAGATCCTCAAAATTTTATAATACCCTATGGATTTCTCCACAACTCTCTTTGTTTAAAAAATCAGGCACTTCCTGTGCCCTTAACACTGTTTGAGGCAGTTCCCATGTAAGGAGGTTCTTTGACAAATTACTTGGAAAGATGGACGTGCTGCTAACGGATTTTAACATAGCCACCCCATTTAGCAAATGTTAGGTCCTGAAAGGAGAGTTTAGAGGCTTCAGTGTAAATCGTACACACCACATCTCCAGCTTTTTCCTTCTTTATTAGACTTTCACACGAATCTGCTTTGAGAAGATATTTGAGTGAACATGCTTTTAATCTGATAATATAAAGTACAATATAAGGAAATGGGTCCAGTTAGAGGGTAAAGTAGCTAAAATGGTCAAGACATATTAGGTCATGACAATATGAAGTTAGAGGAGAAGCTACATTCTTTATAATTAGAATTCTTCACTCTGGTCTTTGGGGTGAGGAGACAGTAGTTTATGGATGAGCTTCAGGTATCTGTGAATCCCCTGAACTTTAATGCAAAGTGTTATGCCTTTGTCATAGCTTTTGTCAAATCCTCAAAGAGTCAGTGACCCCAAAAAGATGATGAGTTTCTGGTTCAGATGCTGCTGCTGCAGGGGTGGCTTGAGTTTCAGGGGTACTTCCAAGACTCCAAGCCATGCTGTCCCACACAGAAGCCACTCCCCAGCTGTGGCTGTTGAGCACAGAGATGTGGTCGGTCCACAATGAAACGTGCCGTCCGTGGAAACTACACACCAGACTTTGAAGAGTTGGGGCCAAAACAGAATATAAAATACCTCATTATAATGTTTTAATATATTTGTTTAAATATTAGTTTAACATATTAATAAAATGGATTTTATATGTTCCTTTTTACTTTTTTAACACGTCTACTGGAAAATTTAAAATTGCATTTATGGCTTGCATTACATTTCTACCGGATGGTGCTGTTCTGAGCCTTTCAGCACCATGTCATTGCCTGTTTTTTTCTGAACTTGTCAGTAACATTCCAAGTAATTGGCACTCAATGGCAGTGAGATATAGCTGGGGTCCCATTCCAGTTTCTGAAAGCCAAAAATCTGTATATTTTTTGCCTGGTTACAATCAGCAACCTTTGTCCTGGAGAGAACCAGAGGGGACAACCGATGGACAGTGCTGCTCACTCTCGGGAGTCACCTCCACGGAGCTAGACATGGAAACACCCACCCGGGCTTGCTTTGGGCGGGGCTGTGGAAGTCTTACCGCTGAATCCAGACTGCCTTGCCAATAATCTGGCTCTTTTTCGTTTTGTTTTTTTTTTTTCTTTTTTTTTTTTTTATAAGGCTACTCGAGTGAAGCAGTGGGAGTGGAAAAGGAACAGAGAAATCTGTAAATGGTTGTGATCAGTTAGTTGCAAACACCCTGGCACTCAGACCAGACAATAATCTGGCCCTTTAAATGATGCTCCCCGCTCCCTCCAGCCTAACCCAAATGCTGAATCTCTTACAGGAATGTTTCAACAGGCACTGGCTTTTTCTTCTCTTGAACAGAACTAGACCAGGCAGCCTGACATGGGACACGGAGGGACGGTTTTTACATTCACTCTGTCAAAGTGATTTAATTATGTCCTGACTTGCTGGTCTTCCAGCAGCTCTCAATGAATTCCAACTTTGTTCTTTCAGACAGTACTACGCTTACCTCACCGACACACAGTGCAAGCGCGTAGGAACACAGTGCTGGGTGTTTGGGTGAGTAATCTGTTATTGTGGAGATTTAAAAACCACTTAAGCCCTAAATTTCTTTGGGTATTTCTTGACCCTGTGTTAACAGCCTTTCAGTATAATTTTTCTGTGAAGGCAAGTGGACAAGATTTTATTTATATGTATGTGTGTATGTGTATATATATATATATATACACACACACACACACACCCATTATACAGAAGAAATTACTTTTCACAGATATTTAAACAGTACATTCTCCCAATTAAAAAGTAATACTTGCACAATGATAAAAATTCAGTAAAGGATCTAGAAGGAACTAAAGATCACCCAAAGAAGTCAACCATTTGGAGATAATTGTTGTTAATATTTTAATGTCATTCCTTTCCATTTTTCTGTGTGTGTGTGTGTGTGTTTCCAGCTGTCATCTAGATTCTGAAGGGTGACATAGTTTTAAAGGCTAAAAATGTTGATACTCAGGTTAGATTTAGGAAGGTTCCTCCTGACCCCTAGAAGACTAAGGGCCATTGTCATTTGTTTCTCATAAGTTCTGTGTGGTAAGCTTGATTTTCTTACCCAAAGTGGTTGCAGCGTAAAGGGTGATAAGATGGATTTGGTTTCCTTTGTTCATGATATAGCAGGAGGGAGGATTCACACATCTCCCAGATTTCTGACAGAGCAGAGGCAGCGCCCCCGCTTCTTGTGTGAGGGCCCTGTGTCCTGGAAGAAGGGATGCGGGCCGCTCCTTCTAAAGGATTGTCCAAGGAGGAAATGGGCTTTCCTGCATTTGAGCTCTTCTCTCCCACTCACACATTCTTTCCACGTGCATTTTGCTTTCATATTTAAAAGTCCTTAGCAAGGTCTTATTATTCTGCTGTGGAGTGGATTTCTTTTTCCACAGAATTGTATCGATTTACGTGTTGAGGAAAATAGGTGGGTCAGAGAGAGAGGTCGTGTCATGACAAGTTTCTTTCTAATTGGACAACCATAAAACACCATCCACACGGAGGGAGAAATGGCAAAGGTAAACTCCACTATGGCAGCTCATGCCTGTAATCTCAGCAATCTAGGAGGCTGAGGCGGGAGGATCGCTTGAGGCCAGGAGTTTGAGACCAGCCTGGGTAACATAGCGAGACATTGTCTCCACAAAAAGTGTTTTAAGTCGGCCAGGCATGATGGCACATGCCTGTAGTCTGCGACTCTGGAGGCTGAGGCAGAAGGATCACTTGAACCCAGGAGGTCAAGGCTGCAGTGAGCTATGATTGTGCCTCTGCACTCCCACCCGGATGACAGAGCAAGACCTCGTCTTTCTCTCTCCCTCTTTTTTTTTTTTTAAGGAAAAAAAAAAAGGAAAAAAGTAAACTATGCCGAAGAGTGATAAACACTGCCCCAGAAAGTTGTGGCTTGTTTGAAAGTGATTAAAATATAGTGAAATGCAAAGGAGGGATCATTGGGCTAACTTAGTGTGCTTTACTGAGAATTGAGAACCCCCGGAACAGTGTGATATCAAGATTGATGAATCTTGTGAGAACCAGTGAGCTGTGCTGAAAAATAATAAAGCCCACCTCATAAATCACACCCAGTGGATCCTCCTGTGAGTGTGAACAACCATGAGAGCTGCCCCCTGCACGGTCCACACTGCCAGCTAGGGAAGGTGAAACAGGAACCACAGCCTCCCGCTCTCCTGACCCCGGAGGCCACCCACTTCCTTCCTCTGCCCCAGCTCTATCTCCCCGACGTTTTGTCATTATTTCCTCTCCTATCAAAACAGAAAACACTTAAGTGTGTGGTTTCCTTTAATCACTAGTAGCTGCTTTATAACTTTCTTTTCACTAATTTTGGAATGATCTCAGACTTTGGTAAGGTGGAGAAATGAGAGGGAGCAGTGCCCTAAATAGTGACTTTCTGAATGTTGCCTTTTGGGAGGTGGAAGGGGAAAGGCAAAGGTCAATTAGGAGTACCCGCCTGGGGTTCTTTCCCAGCACTCCAACCTTTTTCTCCTGAAGAGGGTACTTTCTCTTCTATAAACATGGTATCCTCAAAATGTTTTTATGAATTACTTGCTGTTGTAGCTAAATACATGTCATCCCTAACAGTTGTGCCATAGACTGAGCTTTTAAACCTTTTATACGAAAGGTGTTGCACTCAGCAAAGAGAGGGCGCCATCCAGCAAGGGAATGGGATCCCTGACAGGGAGAAAGCAGCCACGTGGAAAGGTGGGCTCTTTCTCTATTTAGATGTCACATGGTATTCCTTCAGCTCGGTGGGAGTTTTGGGGCCAGACTGATGTGAACAAATTCCCCAGGTGTGGGGTTTATGTCATCTTTGTCTTTTCCCCACTCCACCCCAATTAGAATTGAGCTTCTCTGCCTCAAAAAGAGTATTGGCTCAGTTTAAATAGAAGCAGTGTTTTTTCGCCTAGTGCTAGGAGGAAGGTGGCCAAGGGTCTGCTGGAACAGCAGTGCACAGTTGGCTTTTCCTTTTCCTGGGAGTGCATGGGGTGGACCCTCACGGGAGAGTGAGCCTACCCTGCCTGAGGGCCCAGGACTGCATCCTGCCTCCCAGAGGCAGCCAGAGCTGCTCCTCACCTGACCAGTTTCCTCGCTGCCTGTTATCCCACCTCTGCTAATGTGTCCATCACAATAAGTTCCCACCTCTGCTGGTCTCCAAGGTCAGCTCCAAACCAGCCAGTCCTTTCCCCATCCTCTTCTCAGATCTTCTATACAGTATCTGCCTTCTTGAAACTGTCCTCTTCCCTCTGCAACATCTGTCCTGGATTTCCTCTCACTTTTCTCTTTCCAATCCCCTTTGTTGACTTCCCATTCTATCCCTCTCTCCTCCTTACAATTTCTCGTAATTGTGCTTTTGTTCTGTTGTTCTTCCAGGCCCATAGTTCGGGCTTTCTTTCTTTTTAAATTTTATTTCTTTTGAGACAGAGTCTTGCTGTGTTGTCCAGGCTGGAGTTGAGTGTCAGTGATCACAGCTCACTGCAGCCTTGACCTTCCAGGCTCAAGCAGTCCTCCCACGTCAGCCTCCCAGGTAGCTGGGACTATAGGCATGCACCACAGTGTCCAGCTAATTATATTTTAGTTTTCGTAGAGATGGGGTTTCACCATGTTGCCCAGGCTGGTCTTGAACTCCTGGGCTCAAGCAGTCCTCCCACCTTGACCTCTCAAAGTGCTGGGATTACAGGCATGGGCCACTACCCAGCCCAGACTGTCTGTCTAAAGGGTAGATGCAGCTATGAGCATGAGCTTCCTTCTAGGAAGAGGGCGCAAACACAGGGGAACAGGTGTCAGGAGGGGAGTCCCTTCCCAGCAAAAGGGCGTCACCGCCGTCCTGCTGGTATAGCTTTATAGCCAGTTCCCCTTCTCCTCATGACTGTGTCTGTTCATCCTCCCCGTATCTTGCCACACCCCATCCCCTCCACTCAAGTACACCTCCACTGACATCTCAGAAGCTCTGACAGTGGTTACAAAGCTTTTGTTTTTTTAGCAGCTGACCTCCCTGTGTTCAAATGGCATCTTGCCCCAAATCCTACTAAGTATCTAAACGACTAAGCAGAACAGTTCTGGGTTTGCCACCCAAGACCCGCTTCTCCCCTCCCCTCCTTGCCCCAGGGATTCTTTGGAAGTTAGAAAGTTCAGAGGAGCGCAGTAGGAATTGTTTCTATTGTTTATGCCACACTTAGCTCTTGCTTCCTCCAAAAAGGTGTCTTTGCCCCCGCTAATCAGAACTAGAAGCTCACTCCTGAACTTGGAGAACGCTTCATGTCATCCTGTGTGATTGTGTGGTCATTGAGCTAACATGGATTCACGTCTCCATCCATGTTATTGGAGGCCGGCCCCTGGCTGCCAGGAGAGGGGCTCACCCACCCTCTGAGCCGTCCAGGGATTGCTTGTGCAGCCGTGGAGCAGTGCGTGTGGGATGCAGCAGCCAGGTACCCGGCCTCCATGTCCCCGGCATTGCTGTGGCATCCTCAGAATCCACGTGCAGTCTTGTTGGCAAGCCAAAAACTCCTCTTCTGCTTCTCAAGTTTGGCTCACACACACTAGCCTAGAGCTTTCATCCCCCAGATTCCTACAACAACCCTGCTAGCATGCCTGCTTCACTCAACTCACCGAAGAGCTCCTGACTCTGGGCTCTGCATTAACATCATCTTTTTTCCCACCCTGTGGAGCTGGCTCCACAAATCGGGGGTGCTGGGAGTACGTGCGCCAGTAACCAGCCCTAGGTCAGGAATCTGTAGTGCCTGCTCCCAGCAGAAGCACCTCAGGCTGCCCAAATGTTTATTTACCTTTTAACCTTGCTAAATCAAGATACAGGATGGTGGATGGCACCACAGGGAATGGAGGCCCTGACTGAATTCCATTAAGCCACAATTTGGCCACCTAGCTTATCCTGGGAAAGTTCAAAGAGATTTAAAGTTGAACTGAGTAAAGGGACCTATTGCTGAGCTGTGCGGAGGAACCCCCAGCCCCCCTGGGGGTGAGGAGGTAGGAGGAGGTAGGTGGTCTCACACTGGTGGGCTTAATACAGGCTCCCACTGTGCTCAAGCCTTGGGCCTCAGCCCTAAACTAGCCGCCCTCTGAGTCTTGGTAGAAAAGTAATGTTAGCCTTCTGGAAGGATGCTATTGATGAGGACTCCCTCTAGTGGGCCAGAGGTAATGGTGGGGGCGGTTGCTGGCGGTTACAGGAGCCCATGTGATCGTTGGGTTCCCACCACTTCTCACCATCTCCACAGCCCCAACCTGAGTCCCCGTGTCTGGATGAGCGCAGTAGCCTCCCTGCTTCTGCTCTTGTCTTCTCACACAGTTCTGTTCAGCCAGCAGAAGGTTTTTGAATATTCATCACCATGCTGTTCACAATAGCAGACATGGAACCCACCTAGGTGTGCATCAGTGGTGGACTGGATAAAGCAAATGTGATACATAGACACCATGGAATAATAGCCATAAAAAAGAACGAGATCATGTCCTTTGTAGCAACATGGGTGCAGCTGGAGGCCATAATCCTAAGCAGGAACAAAAAACCAAATACCACATATTCTAACTTAAAAGTGGGAGCTAAACATTGAGTACACATGGACATAAACATCAGTGTAATAGACACTGCTCACTACTAGGGAGGGAGGAAGCGAGGCATGGGTGGGAAAACTACTTGCTGGGTACTATGCTCACTACCTGGGTCCAATATACACACGTAGCATTCCTCCACATGTATCCCCGTATGTAAAATAAAAGCTGAAAATTTAAAAAAAAAAATATATATATATATATATTTAAAATATATATTAAGCAAACTGGCTAGGCATGGTGGCTCATGTCTGTAATCCTAAGCACTCTGGGAGGCCAAGGCGGGCAGATCACGAGGTCAGGAGGTTGAGACTATCGTGGCCAACATGGTGAAGCCCCTTCTCTACTAAAAATACAAAAGATTAGCCAGGTGTGGTGGCACACGCCTATAGTTTCAGCTACTTGGGAGGCTGAGGCAGGAGAATCTCTTGAACCCAGGAGGCAGAGGTTGTAGTGAGCTGAGATTGCACCACTGCACTCCAGCCTGGGCGACAGAGTGAGACTCTGTCTCAAAATAAAATAAAATAAAATAAAATTACATATATATATATATGGAGAGAGAGAGAGAGAAAACCATGTTAAACCCTCTGCTCTAGACCCTCTAGGATCCCCTCAGACTAAAAGCCAAGCCTAAGGGTGGCCTTCTATGTCCATGCTATCCTGACCTCAACTCAGCCCTTTCCCCTGATTCCTGGCCCTTCCTTGTGCCTTTCCCATGCCCAGGCCTCAGTCCGGGACTCTCCACACTTATATAATCCCATAGCCGACCCCCTCACCTCCTCCTAGCCACCTTCTCATGAGACGTGCCCACACACACAGACAATGGCTTAGCTAAGAATCCTCAGCACATTGAAGCAAATCATATCCTAAAGTCACTAACTCAAAAGCACTGGTCTTCAGAAAAAACTTCAGGTTGGCCAGGTGCAGTGGCTCATACCTATAATCCTAGCACTTTGGGAAGCTGAGGTGGGTGGATCACTTGAGCTCAGGAGTTCAAGATCAATCGGGGTAACATGGCAAAACCATGTCTCTACAAAAATACAAACATTAGCTGGGCGTGGTGTCGTGAGCCTGTAATCCCAGCTACTTGGGAGGTAGAAGAATTGTTTGAGCCTGGGAGGTGGAGGTTGCCGTGAGTCGAGATCATGCCACAGCATTCCAGCCTGGGCAACAGAGTCAGGGACAGTCTCAAAAAATTAAAAAAACAAACAAAAAAAATTAAAAAAAACTTCAGGTCATTATGAGGCCAATGATTGGGTTCTGGCCAGTATTTTCTTAAAATGAAATAAGGATGCAAATTGTCTTATGAAGCTTTTGTTTCAGTGCGTGAGTGTGTGTGTGTGTGTGTGTGCGCGCACCTGTATACTGAATCACAGTGAAAATTATGTTTCTTGCCATGGTTCTTAATGGGTCTTAAATCACAAAAGTTTGAGAAACACAGCTTTAGTAGGCCAATCAGCATGCTTTTAAAAGGGGCCTCAGGCTGTCTCATGTCTATAATCCCAGCACTTTGGGAGGCTGAGGTGGATGGATCATTTGAGGTGAGGAGTTCCTGACCAGCCTGGCCAACATGGTGAAACCCTGCCTCTACTAAAAATACAAAAATTAGCTGGGTGTAGTGGCACGCACCTGTAGTCCCAGCTACTCAGGAGGCTGAGGCAGTAGAATCACTTGAACCAGGGAGGCAGAGGTTGCAGTGAGCCGAGATTGTGCCATTGCACTCTAGCCTGGGCGACAGAGCTAGACTCCATTGAAAAAAAAAAAAAAAAAAAAGTAGGGACCCTCAAGTCTAGTTGAATATTCAGAAATCTTTCATAATGAACTCAGGGTGTTCCCTCTGGCTTATGGGTAGATAATCACACTTATGTCCTGGGCTCAACACTCCCAGCATAGGAGTTTTTCAGGAAGTCCCAACCAAAGATAAAATCATCCTTTTTATGTCTCCTCACTGCACAGACTGGAATACCAAACATGTAACTGCCACCTAGCCTCTTAATCACAGTCTAGACTTCAGAAGTACAGTGAAAAAACCTGGCTTCCTCCACTGAAATGATGCTTTCTCACATGTGGTACGCTTTGTGGAGCAGCGCTTTAAAGATTCAAGCCAACCACTGTTAAACCTTGTTTGGTTTGGGCTAGGGGAAAAGATAGCCCCAGACTCTCTAAAGACACATTCCGGAGACTTTCTGTTGATTTTGCTGCTTTGCTGACGTGGTTCTAACTCCAGGCATTCAGGCCTTCAGTTGTTTCAAGCCATCCGCACTGTTGATGATGGCAGTGACCACTGTGTCTGCCAGTAAGCTGGGGTGCCAAAGGCCTTCTTAGCCCTTCTTGCCATTTTTTTTTTTTGAGACAGAGCCTCACTCTGTTGCCCAGGCTGGAGTGCAGTGGTGCCATCTTGGCTCACCACAGCCTCTACTTCCCAGGCTCAAGTGATTCTCCTGCCTTAGCCTCCTGAATAGCTGGGACTACAGGTGTGTGCCACCATGTGTGGCTAATTTTTGTATTATTGGCAGAGATGGGGTTTTACCATCTTGGTCAGGCTGGTCTTGAACTCCTGACTTCAAGTGATCCGCCCGCCTCAGCCTCCCAAAGTGCTGGGATTACAGGTGTGAGCCACCATGCCCTGCCCCTTCTTGCCTTTTTAGAAAACATCTGTGTGAGTACACCATTCCTGGAATGTCCAGATCTTATCTTGAGCAAGGAATGCATAAAATGGACTTGTCTGAAATCACTATTCTTATGCTGCCTGGGATCTCATGGCCAACTGTGTCAACCTCACCTCATCCATTCTTACCTCCAAGTCCTGAACCTTTAGAAAAGCCCAATTTTTATAGCCATAAATGAAGATACAGAACACAAGAGTGGCTTTTTTAATGCCTTAAAGGGGAAATATGAAGTGTGTGGCATTTCCTTAAACAAAAAAATTGTATTTAGCACAATCTTTTACATATCAAGAGAAGGTAAAGGGTTTGTATTGTCACCAAAAATGGGGCTATTTAATCTGGAAATTCTTAGAAGGCTGGGAAGGAATGTGATTAATGCCTTCAAATTATTGAAAGACTCCCTTGGAAGGGTCAAACTCACCCCGTGTGGCAGCCAGCTAGCCTCTTAATCACAGTCTAGACTTCAGAAGTACAGTAAAAAAGCCTTCAGGGTTCCTCCACTGAAATGATGCTTTCTCACCTGTGACATGCTAGGGCAATGTCAGGACCCAGGGTAGGAGGTATAGGAGGCAGATACCAGCCTGAGACAGAGAAAAACTTTCTAACTGCTAAAGAGTTTGACCAGAAAAATAAGCCACCTTGCAAAGGTAGTAGGTTCCCTGTGCCTGAGAAGGTTCCAGCAGAGGCGGCGTGATCACCCACCCTTATAGCAATGGAGGGACTAAGTTAGGTGATGCCAGCGCCCTAGCTATTAAAATTTATGAGTCATGATTTTGGTCTGGGAAGAAGGCAGAGGTGAAAAATTCTTTATTATTTCCGAAATAAATGCCGTTGGCTCGAACAGTGTTATTTTGTGGGGTACCTGCTACCAGTGTTTGGGGCAGAAATCACATGATGAGTTGAACTTTTTGATTCAATCATGCATATTTTGGATAATGTGTATCCTCTGGTAAGACGGATTAATACTTACCCTCTGTTCTCTGTCTGATTAGGGTCATTGGTTTCCTGGAGGCCATTGTCTGCATAAAATTTGGACAAGATCTCTTCTCTAAGACCCAAATACTCTATGTTGTGCTTTGGCTTCTTTGCGTGGTAAGTCATTGCATTTTACCCAAAAGCATTAGCTAAACTCTCATAGTATTGCTTTAAACAGAGGGAGAAGAAGTTGTGTGTCAAAGTTCCTTAGAATTTCATAAAAAGATGTTCTGTTGTAATTGTCTGAGACTGGCCACCAGCCTAATTTCAAGAATAAGACACACCTACACAGTATCTGAAATGAGTCACCTGAGCAGGTTACAGTCCAGTGCCCTCGTCAGGTATACCCCACGTGCATTTACTTCACTCATGGGAATCTGTCTACATGGCCTACACATTTAGGGACTGCCATGAAGGGACAAGGAAGATCACAGTGCACTTTGCTTTCTCATCATCATGCCGTATACATCTTAACATACATATCATTGCACATGGATTTATATATAAAAGGACATATGGTGATTCACAGGCAATAAAATATGTTTTGGAAGATAATTCGATCCTGCAATTTCTGCCTTCCAGGCCCATGTTATAACCCAAGTCTGGATATAACCTTCCACTCTGAGGGGAAGAGCCTGGAGGGACGCCGGCCTAAGCCTTGGTTCTTTTGCCCTGGGGCTCTTCCCTCACCTTTCAAATGAAGTAAGATAGCACCCAGTTACACATTTTGTGACTGCCATTCTTTATTTAAATATTTGAAGTTATTATTTTGAAGAAAAGTTCTTATTTTATATTTAAGCTTAAGATTTTTCACTTAGTCTAGAAAATGTATTGGGCTTTCTAAATAATCATAGAACATTTCAGCCATGTGCAAGTAGAGAGAATAGATGGCCCCTCATGAACCCATCATCGGTTATTAACTCAGGGCCAATTGTGTTTCCTCTTATGTTGTACCCACGGCCCCAACCGCTAACTTATTTTGGAACGGATCCACCTTTAATATTTCAGGATGGATCACTAAAAGAAGCTCAGGATGCTTTTTAGGTTTAATGCAACCACCCTACCATTATCATATCTGAAAAAGAATTAACAGTAATTCCTTAATATCATCAAGTACCTAATCAGTGTTCAAATTACTAACTTTTTCTTAAAGCTTGTATTTGCTTAACAATGTATTTGAATCCACATTCACCCATCGTGATTGGTTGGCATGCCTTTTAAGTCTCTTAATCCATAGGTTTTCCTTCTATCGCTAACCCTCTTTCCCTCGTAATTTATCAGTTGAAGAAAGCAGCTCTTTTGTCCTACAGATTTTCCCACAGTCTGGATTTTACTTATTTTTATCCTATCTTATAATTTAACATATGTCTTTGTCCTCTGTATTTTCTGTAAGTCGGTAATTGGATCTGCAGGCTTAATCACATTTGGGTCTAATTTTTTCTTTTCTTTTCTCTTTTTTGGCAAGACTAACCTTTGTATTTTTAATGTGTCTTTTATCGCCTTTAACGGGATCTATTTTTAGGGTTACTTGTTAGAGATCCTAACTGTGCCAAGGCACAGTGAGCCTGTTCTGTCCTGTTTCATCTTGAACAATAGAGGGGAATAATGATCTCCTTTGTATTTAAACTACAGAATTAATGCCCAAGTATATTTTTCCATGTCGGTGAGACTAAATGTAAGGAATCGGTTAAGGAAATGTGTCGGAAGTGCCCAGAGATTTTCACCATGCTTCTCTCGGATATATCTCTGGCCTGTGCACCTCAAGTCTGAATTGTAATAGGACCTGACTGCAGGGGGCAGAGGTGGGTGCCCTCTTCACTGGGTACCAGAGAACCACCTGCCCACAGGGAGGGTGAGATAGGCAGTACTCCCAAGACAAGACAGACAACCCTCCTCACCACAGCAAATCACAGGCCTCCCAGCTGCCTCCTTACCACTGCCCCTAGGCAGCAGTGACCAGAAAGGTCTTCTCAGGCCACCTACCCAGGCAGTCCTCTCTGGTCCCTGTCTTAGTCCATTTTCTGTTGCTACAACAGAATACCATGGGCTTGGTAGTTTACAGAGAAATTAAATCACAGTACTTTATTTGGCTCACAGTTCTAACAGCTGGGAAGTCCAAGAGCATGGTATCTGGCAAGGGTCACCCCATGATGGAAGGGTGGAAGGTGGAAGTGAGCATGTAAGACAGCAGGAGGTGGGCCGGACTCACCCTTCTTATCAGGAACCCACTCTCACAATCACTAACACACTCCTGTGATAACAATCCCACTCCTGCAATAATAGCATCAATCCATTTATGGGGTGCACTCCTCATGACCTAATCATGTTTTAAAGGCCTCACCTCCCAATATTATTACACTGACAGCTAAGTTTCAACATGAGTTTTGGCAGGGACATTCGAGCCATAGCATTCCACCCCTCACCCCTGCTTCTCACGTACAAAATACATTGATTTCCCAAAAGTCTTAACTTGGCCCAGCATCAACTCCAAAGTTCAGAGTCTCATCTAAATCAGATATGAGTGACAGTCAAGGCACAATTCATCCTGAGGTGAATTAATCCCACATGGACACCACCACAGTTTCTGGCCTATACCTTCCAGAGTGGTAGCCCAAGCCACACCAAGGTCCACTTGAGCCACAGCCAAGAAGAACTATGCCAGCCGTGAGTGTGTGAAATCAAACAGGTCATCTACTTCCACAATACAATAGTGGGACAGGCATAGGATAGACATTGCAAATCCAAAAGGGAGAAACAGGCAAGAAGAAAGGGATAAGCAGTCCCAAGTAAGTCCAGAACCCAACAGGGAAACATTACATCTTAAAGCTGGAGAACAATCTCCTTTGACTCCATGTTCTGCATCCTGGCCTGGGGCAGGAGTTGGGCCCCCAGGCCCGGCAGCTCCACCCCTGTGGCTGTGCCGGGTTCGGCCAGTGCTTCAGTTCTTCCAGGCAGGAGTTGCACACTGGTGACCCTACAGTTCTGTGGTGTTGGGGATGACCCTGCTGCCACTGCTCCTCTCTGGTGGCTCCAACCCCACATTTCTCCTTGGCATTGTCCTAGTAGTGACTTTCTGCAGTGGCACTGCCCCTGTGGCGGGTTTTTGCCTAGTCTTCTAGGTAGTTTGCCGCATCCTTTGAAATCTAGGTGGAGGAAGCCATGTCCTCCACAGCTCTTGGATTTTGCATATCTGCAGAATTAACACCACACGGACGCCACCACGGTTTATAGCTTATCCCTCCCACAGTGGTAGCCCAAGCCACACCAAGGCCCACTTGAGCCACAACTAAGGCAGCCAAGGAGTGCTCTGCTAGAATGTGGGAGTAGAGTCCCTAGGTAGCCCTGGTCAGTGAGCCCGGGGAGGGCTTCCCAGGCCTGTAACCAAAAACCATTCTGCCCTCTTCGAGTTCTGGGTCTGTGATGGGAGGGGCAGCCTTGAAGATCTCTGAAATGCTTTTGCTTTCAGGGGTCTTCCTCCCATTTTCTTGATGAATAGCACCTGGTTTCTTTCTTTCCGTGGTAATCGCTTTAAGAGTCACGTGGCCTTACCCTTAGTGTTTGGAATATGCTTTTTCACTCCTTACATGGCCAGGCTTTGAATATTCCAGATTATTCCATTCTGCTTCCCTTTTAATTATAAATTATCTTTAAGTCATTTATTTCCTCTTGAATTTCATTGTATGCAGCCAGAAGTAGCCACACAGTAGCCTGAATGCTTTGCTGCTTGGCTGTCTTCCACCGGATATCCTAGTTCATTGCTCTTAGGTTGCACATTCCAGAAAGCCTTCAGGCATGGACACAATTCAGCCAAGGTCTTTGCTACTATATGACAAGGATGCCCTTTACTCCACTTTCCAATCCTTGCTCTTCGTTTCCATTTGAAACCTCATCAGAATGGCCATGACTGTTCATATTGCTACCAGCATTCTGGTCATGAACACTTAAGTAATCTCTAAGAAGACTGAGGCTTTCCCTCTTTTCTTCTGGGCCGTCACCAGGATCGCCCTTAATGCTCCCTTTACAGCAATACAGGCTTTTTCTAGCCTGTGCCTCCAAATTCTTTCAGCCTCTACCCATTAGCCAGTTCAAAAACTGCTTCCACATTTTCAAATATTTGTTATAGTAACCACCCCACTTTTTGGTACCAATTTTGTCTTAGTCCATTTTCTGTTGCTATAACAGAATACTGCAGACTAGGTAATTTCTAAAGAAAAGAAGTTTATTCCACTCACAGTTTTAGAGGTTGGGAAGTCCAAAAGCATGGCACTGGCATCCAGTGAGGTCATCCCATGGTGGAAGGGCAGAAGGCAGAAACAAGTGCACCAGACAGAGAGGGAAGTGCCAAACTCATGCTTTTTATCAAGAACCCACTCCCAAGGTAACAGCCTGAATCCATTCATGAGGGCTTTGCCCTCATGACCTATCACCTCTTAAAGGTCCCACCTCCTAATGCTGTTAAGTTGGCAGTTAAGTTTCAAGGAGAGTTTTGGCAAGGACATTCAAACCATAGCAGTCACCCAGACTGTAGGGACCCCTCTAATTTCTCTTTAAGTTTTAGAGACTTTCGGTTACTTATTTGACACTTAGAATATACCTCCTTACATGGGTTAGCCTTTGTGTCTGTGTGATTGTAACTTACTGAGGACATGCACCATTTCTTATGCTCCCATTGACCTCTGCTTCACTTGGTGCAGACCTCTTAGTCCGGGCTTCATTCACAGACAGTTGCTGAGTGCTCCTCCGTGCTGTGCCTGGGGCTCTAGCCACACAGATAGATGACGATGATAAGATTTACTGATGCCTACTATATGCCAGAGACTATTCTAAGCACTTTCATGAATTCCACATTTGATCTTCACACTTTGAGGGAAGGTATTTTCTTATCCCTCTTCTATAGATGAGGAAACGAAGGCACAAAGAAGCTCACTAACTTGCCCACGGTCACATAGGTAGTTAAGTGGCAGAACCAGGACTCAAACCCAGACATTCTCTGTAGGGAACTGCTCTTCATCACTGCCCTCCAAGGATCTGTGAGTTCAGATGGCAATTAGACATGCAAATTAATTATGTTAATATGTGATAAATACTATAAAAGATTGTGTGCATAAGGCTAAAGG